GTCAATAAATCTTTTTAAAAAATTTATATTGAAACTGGTGTGATACATTTGTAAAATAATTAACCATTTAAAGTATTTAATAAATACTAAATAACTGAGTGTATTCATTAATAGTACTAAAGTTGTTGAATAGGTACTTTCAAGGTATCTAATAAATGCCAAAATATTTGGAATGTTTTGTTAGATACCAAAGGATCTGGATATTTTCCAAATACCAAAAGTAATGGTTACTTCCTAAATAATAAAAGTTTTGAGGTCTTTAATAAATTTCAAAAGAAATGGGGCGTTTTGGTAAATACCAAAAGATCTGAGATAAACTCATAAATTGTCTAATCCAATTTTTTAAAATCGACGATTGAATTCTGGTGCTGGGCTTTCTGGATTTGTTAAAGGCCCAATCAATATAGTAAAGCGAGTGCATAACTCTACGAAAACGATTTGCTAAGAATCTCTGGTCGCTCTTTCGAACGCTGATCATCATCATATATGCCACCTGAACCGTATCTCCGAGACGGCTTATTGGTCTAACTCTTTTCCACCACCGTCGTCTCTGTCTCTCTCAGATCTGATCCTCTTGCCGGATTCCGTCATGCCGTCTTTTTTCACCGTACAATCTCTCTTCTCGGTTTACTCCGCCGTCGCCTGCATCTTCTTCCTTCTTCTCTCTCCGGCTTTGGCGTCCGAGTCAGATCACAAGGTTAGATTTGGATCTCTAGTGTCTGCCGTTTTTGTTATTATCTTATCTGCAGCTCAATTCGAGTTCTTTGCTCTTAGATCTTGCTCTTGCATGTTGTTTGTGTCTGTTTTTTTTTGGCTCGGATCTGTTACTTTCTGAGAGGCTCGATCCAGCTGCTTTTATTTTTCTTTTCGCTTGGAATTTGAGCAAGTATTTGTCCACTGTGTTTTTAGGTTTCTCGTGTTCGTGGCATTATGGATTAGGTTTCTTATATGGTTTGTAATTTTCGGTGATTTGAGTCACCGTCCAAGTCCATTTGCTGTTTGTGGCATCATTGGGTTTGGTTTTTGGAACGATCTTTGTCGGTGGATGTTCTCTGGTGTAGTTATCTGTTCAATTTGCCACATTTAGTAGAGAGAAGTAGAACTGGAATATGCATGCTCTTGCAGCTCCTTGTTAGGTCTAGCCTTTGCTGCTGTATGTTATCTAATCTTGATAGATTTTAGGGCTGGATTAGGTAAGCGTTTCTAATTTATTATTGTTTTGATTGCCTGACGATATGCCGCAGCTATTCCCTGATTGTTAGACAGTGTTGGATCTATATTGGTCGGGTTTCTTGTGATAGTTGAGGTTAAGAGATCTGGAGCTGTAAGGGTTCACCTTCTGGTTACCGATTTTTCCCTATGTAGTTTAGTCTTAAAATATGTATTTAGTTCAGTGTACATTTTTGACAACGTGGATCATGAAGTAATAGTAGCTATTCGGTACCTAGCAAGAGAAAATTAGTCTTATCAGTCCTATGTTTTTAGGAGATGGTAGTGTTGCAACGACAGGTTTTGTTAGAATTTCCCTTTTTCTTCCAAAAGATGATTGCCTTCTTTGTTTTATACTATTATTGTCGGAGATACAAAATATTGACAATTAGAGTTCCAATATGTGTGTTTGATACTTGACACCATTATCCGGTCTGGGTTTCGATATGTTCCCATATGTTTTTTCCATCGGTTTCATATCTCTTGCGTCATAAAATTTGGTCTTTTGCTTTTACTTTTACAGTATCAACCTGATGAGCAAGTTACCCTGTGGGTGAACAAAGTTGGCCCATATAATAATCCACAAGAAACATATAACTATTATAGCCTTCCGTTTTGCCGCCGTAATGAAAACAGTGTTCATAAATGGGGTGGTCTTGGTGAAGTTCTTGGTGGAAATGAGCTCATCGACAGCCAGATAGAAATAAAGTTCTTGAGTATGTTAATTCTTGTACTAGTGTTTCTTTCATAATTGTTATCTTGACTCCGCAGAAGTTATATTGCTATCTTCTGTTTTCCTCCCAGAAAATGTTGACAGAAGTGTAATCTGTCAGTTGGAACTCGATGACGCTAAGGTCAAGCATTTCAAAGATGCCATCGAAAATAGCTACTGGTTTGAATTATTTATGGGTATGTATCGCATCTACTTTGTACATATTACTGATGAAGTATGAAAGAAAAAAGTTGATCCCCTGGATTAAATTACAGATTGCCATTTTTTATATTTGAGATTGAAAGTCTTTATGGAATATCAAGGGAACTCAAGTTGCTAAGAAATAAACATTGTTTAAAAGTTGGAAGTATTTTGCATATTGTATTAAGGCTTTGCGAATGGATCATTTTCATGACCTAATTCTTCGGTGTCACTATATTCACTATTCTGACATCAGTGAGACTAAATATTGAAGCATCCTTTGTTGCTAATCTTCTGTCTTGTTTCTTTTTTCTCACAAACGATGTCTATGGCGCTCGTGGATGCAATATCAGATGATCTGCCTTTGTGGGGTATGATATTTTCTATATTAACAGAACGTCCAAGCTTTCAATACGGTTCTAGATATAATGTTTTTACTATCGCATTGTTGTTATAGGCTTTGTTGGCGAGCTGTCTCCTGGGAAAAATAGCGAAAACAGCAAGCATGTTCTTTACACACATAAGAATATTAATGTCAAATACAACAAAGACCAGGTCAGTTGTTTCTTTGCCATTAAGCAGTTGAGGATCTCATATGAACTTTCCCGTGATCTTATGCTTTATTCTTCGCATAGATTATTCATGTGAATCTCACTCAAGACAATCCAAGGCCGTTGGAAGCAGGGAGGACAGTGGAGCTGACATATTCTGTGAACTGGATTCCAACCAATGTCACATTTGCTCGTCGTTTTGATGTTTATCTAGACTATCCATTCTTCGAACACCAGGTAAATCATATCATGTAATGTCTTATGTTTTCATCCTTCTGCTATCACTACTTAATTCATATTTGCGTCAATTCATATTTGCTTCAAAGTGTGATAACGTATTACACCGAATGCTCTTTTGTTTGCTTGTTGATTTAAATTGCTAAAACCTCGTCTCAAGATGTTTTTCTTTTCTTGTCCAGATCCATTGGTTCTCCATCTTTAACTCGTTCATGATGGTTATATTCCTTACTGGTTTGGTTTCAATGATCCTAATGAGGACTCTCAGAAATGATTATGCCAAATATGCTCGGGAAGACGACGATCTGGAGAGCTTGGTGATGTCTCCTCAACCTCTAATCTATAATAGTTGCAGATGTTTTCTTACTGTTACCGTTTATGTTGTCAACTTGTAAATATTTTTGTCTTCACTGTAAATGCAAGACCGTGGAGCCATTTGTGACAGTTAGTACTTGTTGAGCACAGGAACGGGATGTTAGTGAAGAATCTGGATGGAAACTCGTGCACGGAGATGTGTTCCGTCCACCTCGTAGTCTGGTTCTTCTCTCGGCTGTTGTTGGTACAGGCGCGCAGTTGGCTTTGCTTGTTCTTCTTGTCATATTAATGGCAATCATTGGGACACTCTATGTTGGGTATGTATGACACTCGTAGCTTCAATCAACTTCTCATTCTGTTATTTCTCATCGAATAAGAGTTTGGATTTTGTCTGAATTTCATTCTTGCCATGTGAACCTCATATTTTGGTTTAACCTTATTCAGGAGAGGAGCGATCGTCACAACTTTTATAGTTTGCTACGCTCTGACGTCATTTGTTTCTGGTTATGTGAGCGGTGGGATGTACTCAAGAAGTGGGGGTATGTTGTTTTCTTCTTTGTTGAATACAGCAAGCTTTCCGATAATATATCTTCCCCCCTACTCACTTCAAATTTCTCTTATGCTTGTTTGTTTAGGTAAACATTGGATCAAGTGCATGATCCTCACGGCTTCTCTCTTCCCATTCTTGTGCTTCGGGATTGGATTCCTCCTAAACACAATCGCCATATTTTACGGATCTCTTGCGGCTATTCCCTTTGGAACAATGGTGGTTGTTTTTGTAATTTGGGGTTTCATTTCGTTCCCTCTTGCCCTCCTTGGGACAGTCGTAGGTAGAAACTGGAGTGGTGCTCCAAACAATCCATGCCGTGTGAAAACCATCCCGCGTCCAATCCCTGAGAAAAAATGGTACTTGACTCCATCAGTAGTCTCTCTTATGGGTGGTCTCTTACCCTTTGGCAGCATCTTTATTGAAATGTACTTTGTCTTCACATCCTTCTGGAATTACAAGGTAAAAACTCTCACAACGTACAAGTTCAATTAGAAAGAGCGGGGAAAAAGAACCCAAGCCTTGTGCCAAAGTATCGTTGCATGTATTAATGGGAATTTTGGTCTCATGACAGGTATACTATGTGTACGGGTTCATGCTGCTTGTCTTTTTGATTCTGGTTGTCGTGACTGTCTGTGTGACGATCGTGGGGACTTATTTCTTGCTCAACGCGGAAAACTATCACTGGCAATGGACTTCGTTCTTCTCTGCTGCTTCGACTGCAGTTTATGTCTACATATACTCAATCTATTACTACTACGTAAAAACAAAGATGTTTGGGTTTTTCCAAACCAGCTTCTACTTCGGATACACCTTGATGTTCTGTCTCGGCCTCGGAATCCTTTGCGGTTAGTTGTTTTGTTCTTTCACACTAGCCTCTCACTCCAAAAAGTAGCATTGGTTTGGTCTGAACTCTGAAGATTGTTTGTTTGGTAAATGAAAAATGTGCAGGAGCTGTTGGGTACTTAGGATCGAATCTGTTTGTTAGGAGGATCTACAGAAACATCAAGTGCGATTAGAGAAAGTTACCGGAGAAACAAAAAAAGCAAACGCGGTAAAGACGGGTTGGGGAAAGTTCTTGGAGGCAGTAAAAAGAAGCTTCTTACGGGTTTAAGATGGAGAGTGTGGCAATGAAAGGAGGACTGAAAATCCAACTTATATATTATATTCTTCTTAAAATCTTAATTTTTGTTTTTGCTTAGGGGGAGAAGCTTTAATC